AATAAATAAATAAATAAATAAATAAATAAATAAATAAATAAATAAATAAATAAATAAATAAATAAATAAATAAATAAGAACAGTTTTCCATTTTCTTTATTCTGACATTGTCTCACTTCTATATATAGGGAGGTAGTTGGGCCTGTGTTAATTTAACTTTTTAAAGTTTAGTCAGAGGCAAAGAGGCAGGTGAAGATATGTTATCACCAAGTATGTGTTTAGACACACATACACAGTACTGACCAGGGTAACACAAAGAAGCAGATCAGGAGAGGATCAAAATAATCAAAGTTCAAAACAAGTACAGTGGACCCTCAACTTACAGACGGCTCGACTTACAGACTTTTCGAGTTACAGACTTCTCTGGCTGCAAAATTTAGGTTCGACTTGCAGCTGGAGAATCGACCTACAGACTAGAAAAAAAAATGGAACAAAAATGGAACAAAAACGGCTGGTTACGGGATTAATCGGTTTTCAATGTATTGTAGGTCAATGGAGACTCGACCTACAGACTTTTCGACCTGCAGACACCGTTCCAATACGGATTAATTCTGTAAGTAGATGGTCCATTGTATGTGAGTCACAAATTTAGAACTGGTTTTAAAATGAACAAAAATCAAAATGAAGCAGGAAACCACAAAACATGGGCATAGCGAGCACACAGATTGTGTGAGATAAAATGGGATGTTTGGGCCAGTTCACACGCTGCTTGTTCTACAGAAAATCTATGCATTAGTCTATTGGAAGTACTGGGCTCTTTTGCACATATGTACACAGAAGCTTAAAGCTAGTATGACACTCAAGTACATCACACCTATACAAATATGGTATGTCTACTGCTATAAAAGAGAGAGGGAAATGAGGGGAGAGGAGACGATAAATGAAATGAACTGAAATGGAGAGATCAGCTATGCATTCACGCAGAGAGATCACAATCACTGTAAAGGGTGGTAGAGGAAGTGCTGTGTGCAGGTATGATCTCCACATGATGCAGCACGTACAAGCTACATGCTATGGTCATGCATCACCTAAGCATTAGGTTCAATAGTATTATCACAAAAAAGCACCTTAAGAGAAAACAGGATGCCTTGGATGGAGAAGATTCTGAACCAATCTTCAGTGAACAGCAGAAGAGTTCCTGCAAAGGACAGGGGCTTCTCCTCAGGGGACAATCCCGCATTTAAAGTAGGAAGCCTCCCATGCAGATATCAAAGCTTGAGCAAGACTGGCAGTCATGCTTGATCAGCAGGGAATGAGCTGGGCTACAATCACCATGTCTCCATATCATTAGGGAGGATGGGATGGGCCAAAAAGAAAACTCTGGCAGACTTCGTAAATTAGAGCCACTTGGGCAAGGCTGAAGAGTTCAGTAAGAGGACTGAGAGCTAAAAGCCAAATAATTAAGCACCAAAGATGAAAGAATGCCAAACTATACTAACATTAAGGCAGGCCAATTGTTCTGTCTTTAAAGCTCCTCCCATCCTCTTGTATCTTTTCTGCCCAAATGATTATATGGCTTTGGCACATTAACCATCCTTCCAGGGAACTGACTGCTATAAAGTCATCTCTGGGTAACCTTGACAGTCAGTCCTGGCTCTCTTCCAGGTACCCTGATTAAGTTGAGTAGGGAATATTCTCTATGCCTAGTATTAGCATCATTAAAAAAAGCCCAGTCCATCCAAGAATCACACAGATGTCTTCATTATTTTCATTCGTGCTCATTAGCCAATCTAAACAATAACTGCATGGGAAGAAACCTGCTTGGCAACCATCCTAATAAGTCCTTGCTACAGTTTAAAAAAATCCAAGCTGTTGAGCCTGGACTTGCCTGTCGGTTTCTGCCTCGTTCTTGCAATCTCTTTTGGACCAATGTAGATGAAGCTTTGTGCCAGCATTTTTTAAAATTATAGGACTGGACTCTTAGACGCCAGTGCTAAGAGGTGAAAGAGTTTCTTCCTGCCTTGGTTGTCTTTAAAACTTAAACTCGCAAACTGTTCCTTTGCAAAGAGTCATTAAAATTGTTTAGTCTGGAACATTGCTTAAAAATCATCTAAATTAATACACAAGGACTATCAAAAGGACATGGACTATTTTCCAACTGTTCAGTTTAGCTTCTTAACTATCTTAGCTACCAGACACCTTGAAGTTTAGTAATATCAGTTTTTTTAAAAAAAAAATCAGTTTTCAAGCATCATATGTGTATCTGGATTAGCTCTAGCACAGATCTGCAGTTGATTCAATGTGTTCATTTATTTTATTTATTTATTTGATTTTTACCCCGCCCCTCTAGACCATGTCTAGAAACAGGCAGCTAGGTTTCTCCTGCAATAACTAAAGTCCAACTCCTTAATTTTTTGCATAATCCCTACCCTGGTTTGAACCCTGACACACATGAAGAGATGGCATTCAAATGGTGCAGAACTCTGCAGAAAAAGTGCTCTAAGAATGTCACATTTAAAGCTGATGCAAGGTCAAATTATCCAACTTAGAAAATACCCTGGGGCCACATCTATGACAGCTGTCAACTCATTTGGAACATATGTCAATCCATCAATGTGCCCACAGATACCAAGATTTGAAAAATGAGGTGCTCCCTTTTAGTTGTTCCAAATTCTCTGCTATTAAACTGGCAACAAAAAATAGCATGCATTCATGCCCTCAAACCTGTATAATTCTACTCTTGAGTAGACTGCTCTGAATGAATAGGATCGCTCTTCAGCACATGGAACTACTGTATTGTTTTATTTCCTGCCTCCTGTCACTTAATTCAACATTTGCTCTTTATCTGGGAACTGAATGCAATGACAGGAGTGGAAACAAAACATGGAGGGAGCAGTACCTTCAGTGACAACTAGGAGGCTCTCTGTCTTCTCGTTTTCAAAACGAGTATCCATTTCCTCTTGGGAGGCCTCCTCTTCATCCTTCTCCTCCTGTAGCCTCTTCATTCTATCCATCAGGGCCTCCAGCTCACTCAAAGAATCTGGTATCTGTAGGAGATCACAAGTCAGGAGAGGTGATGCAAGTTAGAATAGCAAAAAAGCTTCTAAAGGCTGCAACATTTTGTGCTCTTGCCCATCCTCTTCAGGATCATCTTCTTTGCCACCTACCAAGTTTTTATGCAGGTTCAAGGTCAGTGGTGGGGACACAGTTACACTGGATTAGAATCAGCTCCAAGCTATTTTAAACTGATTTTCTGTCATGTTGTTTTTGTAGCCCTGTGCGCATTCACTTTGGAAATTATTATTCCACTATGAAGTAGGGGCTTAAAACCGCTTCAGGAAACTACATTTGAGATTTCAAACAGTTTCATTAACCAGCATGTTGACAGATCATGAGGTTTCCACTGTTGCTGACCCCGGCACATCACCAATGATTGCAACCTTTCTCTTTCCCTTTTGTTTTCAATGTTGTGCAGTATTTCTTTTGGTTTTTAGGCATCTTTCAGAATGCAAGCATTTCTTTCTCTCTCTTTTTTAAAAATAAAATTTAAGTGACACAGCAACAGAAGTTACTTTACTTGAGAAACCTACAGCTGCCCACAAAGGAAGCATTTAATACGACAGGGGTGTTCACACTGCCTGGAGTGATTCCTAAAGACTTGATTTCACAAGCATGTTAAAGAAGCAAGGCCGCTTAAATAAAAAAACAACTTGCTTTGTGGCGAAAACAACAGTGGGCTTTGCAATGTGTCATTTAGCCAGGATTTTAAAAAGTGAATTTTAAGTACACAAAACCTGATTCTTATTGTCAGTGTAACTGCAAACTTCATTATGCACAACATTGAAATTTTTACTGTTTTGTACAACTTATCTGGTTTTGCAGTTATGGCGAACTGCAAAACCACAAATTTAAATGTCCATCTGTTCAACTGCTTACCAGTTTCACACGTGGCATAAATATAGAAGGATACAGAAGGAGGAACATGTAGTTTCAGGGTGAGGTGGGAGGTGATTTGTCCCATGTGAAATTTCCAGAGAAGACATAATAGTAGTGTATTTCATACCAGTGCTCCCAGACCCACAAGTGCATTTTCTCTGAGGCCAAGTGCTGTCGATTTCAATGTAGCAAACTTTCAAGCAAGCATACTTAGGACTGCAACCCTATTTTAATTCTCAGTTTACAATTCAGTTTTAATTTATAGGTAAGAAGTAACCACAAGAAACCAGCATCAGGGGATTGCGTTAACGTGTCAGAGGTGAACTGTTTCCTTCCCAACTAGTTCTGTTTCAGTCTCTTTCAGTCAGTTTTCCAATCCATCTGCTTGCCTCTGCACTCTGGCACGGCTTCCCCTCCCAGAACAGATCCTGTCTTGCAACCAGCTTGCTTTTTTATTAACCTCCTCTTGGATTTATTCCAGTACTCCAACCAACTCTGATCTTAACTCTGCTGGGATTCACGCTCCATCTCTTAGTTTCCCAGCACTGACAAACAGTGGAGAAGATTGATGTGTGAACCTCAAGAAAGGGTCATATGTGAACCCCTTCCTACTCTCGCCAACATAAAGTTAATAGGATGAGCAAAATGGAAACAAAAAACTGGTAATACTAACCCCGAAGTTGTTGCTTGTAAGGGACGCATTTTCGATGTTGTTATCGTTGGCAAGATCGCAGACACAGAAGTTGTTAACTGATATGAGCCTGTAGCCATTTGAGGTATCGTGATCTCTCTCTGGATTGATGCCACTGCCAAAGACAAAACTTGCCAAGGCGTGGTAGTGCGCCAAAAGGACCACAGCATGCACCAGTTCAGGAAGAGACCAATTATTTTCTCCTGTCTTGACAAGTTTCTGAAACAAAAACAAGAAAAAGAAAACCACACGTGTACTCTGTGAAATGCAGACAAATAAAGGACACAGAAGATTCCAGAACAAAGACGAGAGCTACACCATTTCTTTAGAACCTCCGTTTTGACAGGGCATGCTGGGAAACAGAAATGTGAAAGAAATAACAAGACCAATCAGGTCAGGCAAGCATTGTTTAGGTACTAGCAGCTTTCTGACTCCTGCTATAGAGCCAAATTTAAAAAGGGACTTAGAATAATGTAGCACTTAGCAAATTTTTAATTTTTTTTTAAGGTCAGTGGTGGGCAACTCTCAAAGGTTTGGAGGCTTAACTTCTGGAGCTTGATCACTTCCTAAGAACCTTCCTCCACATATAATATTTTCTCTACCAAACAAGACCCCACCCCATATATTCTGGGGGATAAGCATGAACAACAACTTCATTTTTGCCCTTTGCTGGTTATTATTCCCCAAAATTGGAAGTGACTGAAAGTCATTTTTGCTTTTGAACACCCTCCCCCCACCACAATTAAAAGGTGCCAGGGGACCCAACACTTAGTGAAATTTCCCCAACCTAAGGAAACATAAGGGGCATTTTTGATATTTTTTTTTCTAAAAAAATGTTTTGGCATAGAAGTGTGGTGCTCGGAGCTGCATGGGGACTACAGGAAACACTTGGTCCACCCGGACTTGGAAAGATATACATTTCATCAACCACTGCTGATTTTAATGAATACCTGAATGTGTTCTTTTGAAACTAGCCAGGGTCGATGTGCAAGAAGCTTGTTGATTTCATTTAGATTTTTCAGCCTTTGTGGAATGTATTCCAAGCCATTCAGCCACTCTGGTATCCCTCCAGTCTTCAGGAACTCATCCACATGCATGTTTATTAGGTAGGAACACTGGTGTCTGGCAGCAGCCTAGAGTTGGAAAAACAGATGCAGATGAGTTGCAGGTGGCTAGTCTGAAGCTGTCTGTTCTTCTTGCTAAGGGGAAGCTGAAGGTTAGCATGCAACATAAGCATCAGAGAGAAAAATATACCATCAGCATGGTGGAAAACCAAGCAATAAAAAGCAAAAACAAAAATTCTGCTAGATATTTCTATTAATTCCTTTGATGGAAAGGCAGATGTGAGACTGATATTTTAAAAAGCATATGCAACATATACGAATAGTCAACTTTTAAATGGTTATGGCCATATGTTTTCTGAACATTTATAAGCATTCTGCACAAACAGTCAATATTAGCACAGAGATGAAGTCACAGCATTCTGAGCTCAGAAATTGCTAGTTCAAATCTTGTCTCTGTTCTAAATGCACAACGGTGTAAGGTAAACCACTATCATTCAACCATTCTGCAGTTATGATAGTGACAATACTGACTTATTTTATAGGACTACTGGGCACATTGAGAGTGCCAGTGGCACACTAATAATGGAACATAAGAATAATTGTATTGGATACGACCAAAGGTCAGAATAGCCAACCAGATAATTGTGGGGTGTCTATAAGACGTGCAGTAGTGCACACAGCAGCTTCTGGAATCTTTATATAGATGCATAATTCCTCTGATATTGGAGTATTGTACAGGTAGCATAAATAGCCACTGATAGCCCTGTCTTCCATGAACTTGTATAATTCCTATATTTAAAGCTATCCACAAGGCTAACTATAATTAAATCTATCACTGTATTTTGCAAAGAAAAGAAAGATTCCCAATCCTTTGAGGCTCATTTAAAACTTTCAAAAAACTGTTGAAAGCATCATCACAAAATGGCCACCACAGGGGTTGCCCACTCACAAAATGGCTTCCATAGTAAGCATCACAAGTCAAAAACAGAATAAAACGAGTAGGACTGAAAAATGCAAGACAGAAATGAAATCATCTGTTAAAATTTTGTTGCTTAGTGTAAGCCAAATTGTATGTTTTAGTCCATTCTCCCAGGTAAACAAAGTGTCACCGCTGTGATTCTCCAAAGTGTGCACACTAGCTGGCTTGGTGTATATGCATGTGCCATAAAAAATCACAGCAGAGATGCTTTGTTTACTGGTGAACAATGGATCGAAAGTTATGATTTAGCCTATGCTAAGCAACATGATTTTGGCCATTGGATCTGGTGTTCTGCTCCAACACAGCATTCTTTACACAGAAAGCAAACTCATTCACTCTCTTTCCCTCCCTCTCTTTGCTAGCCCTTGTTAATAATAATTACAAACTGTCAAGTCAACTCTGACTTCTGGTACTTGTTAAATCCTACATTAATGCTTGGTACCACACCCATACACCTTACTTTTCCTTGGAACTTGGAAGACCCTATTCACCCTGCAGCCCCTATCCCCAGTATTATTGTTCTTATTTTTAAAGTGAAAATGTTCCTTTATACCATGTAATGACATTTCTGTTAATTAAAAAAGGGTGGGGCTGGTGGAAAACATGGCAAAATGGCCCCTACGGCTCCATTTTTTAATGGGAACTGTGGGACTGTGAGCTACATTTTGACCTCTGGGAGCTGCAAGCAGCCTCGGACCAAACTTCGCTCACCTGGTCTAAAACTAATACTGCAGGCTACTGGTAGGCAAAGTGTCGTCTTGATCACATGCAACCACCAACACTATTTTTGTGGCCTCATCAGACTTCTCTACCTCCCCACAAATAAAGGTTTTCCCAGGGCGGGGGAATAAGTGAACTGTCTTCCTGGAAGCCTCTTGTAGGGATGACTCACCTTTTAAATAGGCTGCAGTGTGCATCTCTCCCCCTCAACTCCTCAATGTCAACTCCTAAAATATCCATCTGGCACTTCTGGTTTCAATCAGAAGCGATGCAAATGAAGCTTGGTTTAATTTACAACAACACTATAATGAAAACAAGTACAATTGTGTTTGGGAATAAAATGATCAAGGGTAGGGTTCTCCAGCACTCACCATGATTGCTATATAATGCCGGTAGGGCAAAGGAAGAGGTCCATCCATACGCAACATATAAAACTGGCTGCGGAGGAAGGACTCCAGGTACTGGGTATGTAAACTCATGACCTGGGTGATGTTATCTAGGCGACCAGATGTAGAATATTCTTCCACAAGCAAGTGCATTCGTTCATTCAAACTGTTGGCTTGCATAACCTTCAGAAAACAAAAGGAAGCAAACTAAAGAGGCTATTTAGTTATTTGGCATTACATTGTATTAATCAGCTTTCCATGAGATAATCAAGGAGATATGGCCAATTTTTTAAAAAGTTTAAAATGTTTTCAGAAAAATATATCAATTATTCACTTTGAACTCACTTTGAAGACTATTTTTAAATGCATAAAAGAATACATCAGTTTATCTATAACTCAGAAATAAGATGGTCTGAGAGTCCTCTGCAGAAAGATCATCTAAAAACAGATGAGCCACTATGAAGAAGGCCATGCTTTCTTCCTTCCGTTCACATATTATTGACAAGTATGGAACACATGCTTCTGCTGTTGCCAAACAACTCCTGTGGTACAGGTATGGGCTTTTCTCAATTCTCAAATCATTGCTCAACAGCACCTGTGTAGCATTTTTAGACTCCACTGTGTCCATTTCTTCTTATAAAGCCCAGTATGTTCTGTGCTATATCTTGACTAAGCCCAATTTAGTTGGGACAATCTACTTCTTATGATACATTGTTATCCACACAGCACAATCAAAAATCTTCCAAACAAATACAAAAATGTAGAAATAATTCAGCTGACAGTTTTAAAAAGAACATACTTCCTTTTCTGGTATAAAGGCACTTGGTCCTCTTGTTAAAGGCAGAGAAACTCTGATTTTCTTTTCCTGCAAGAGGAAGAGATAGAAGAATTATCATGTGTCTACATCAAGAATAACTAAGATTTGAGAATGCCAAAATACTGACTGAAGTCGTTCTTCAAAGTATTTGTCAAACCCAAGACCATTTCCCCCAAAACTCATTCCATGATTCATCTACGGAAGGAGTAGATTACTGGCAACCTATGCAATATCCCCTCCAAGCAATCATTTTTCTTCATTATAACAAATGTCTTTTTTCTATTCTGACCATGGCCCCCAAACCTACAACAGGGTGCCAACATTTGTAATCTTGTTCCCATACCAAAAGAATTGTATACTAGCCAAAGTGGATGGCATTTCAAGACAGCAGAGATCAAAGATACCCACAGAAGGCAGAACAGCTAGTTTCTGAATTCACAGAATGATGGAAATGGGTTCTGCTCTCCGAACAAGTTGCTCACCCCATATTTAAAGCAAGCTTTGTCAACGCAATGATACCCAACAAGAAGGCACTTTATTTATACATCTCCGTTTTTAAAAAAGTAAAACCCTGCTCCAAGGCTATTTACACCTGAAATTCTGTAACTCAGAAGTATTAGGAAAAAAAACCATATGCCTAATAGCTGGAACCCCATATTATGTGTGAGTAAGACCTTAAAGGCCACTTTTTATATGCAAACCAGCTTTGGAAGGGGGCTATTTATAGCACAATTCCCTAAAGTTCCATATATGTGTTCTTTCCTGCCTATTTCCAGAGTTTGGGCTGGCAACTACTGGAACCACCCCAAAATGCTCATCAGCATGGTCACTGGCTGTGCTACCTGTGAGTTGTCATTCCAAAAAAGCAGTATTTCCAAGCTCTGACTTTTTAAATATATATTTAAAAGTCTTGCTGGAGGAAGTGGCAGTAAGAGGAACTCTGGGCAAGAGTGACCATGTTCCACTAGAATTCTTGATTGCAAAGGAAGTCAAAGCAGAGTGTAGCACAGGGGTGGGCAATTTATTTCTATAGGGGGGCCACATGAAAAATCTGAACTGTGTTCAGGGGCCGAACCAACTTTACTTAAACATAAAATGAAACAGTGATGTTATGATTGTTTTTATTTTAAACTTGTTAATCTTCACAAATACTAAAGAGGTTTTTTGCGGCAAGTTAGAGATAAGCAACTGATCAACTTTAGACAAAAAGCTAATTGTTTTGATGTTCAAAACTGTCCACGGGCTGGACAGGAGTGGCTCGTGGGCTGTATGTGGTCTTCGGGCCGCACTTTGTCCAGGTCTGGTGTAGCACATATATATGCTGGATTTCAAAAAAGTCAATTTTAACAAACTCAGGACAATGATAAGTAAGGTCCCATGGCAGGAGATCCTGACAAGAAAAGGAGTCCAAGAAGGGTGGGATTTTCTAAAACAGGAAATTCTAAATACACTACTACAAACAATTCCAAAAAGAAAAAAGGTGGGAGACAGCAAAAAAGGCTGGTGTGGCTTCACAAAAAACTCATGGAGGACTGGAAAACAAAAAAAGGACACATACAGGAAGATGAAAGGAGTTCAGGCCACAAGGAAGAGTATAGAAAAGTAGCAAGGAATTGCATGGATGGCATTAGGAAGGCAAAAGCTGAGAATGAGTTGAGGTTAGCTAGAAGTGGCCACTAAAAGCAGCAAAAAAGCAATCTTCATGTACGTGTGTAGCAAAAGACAAAGAAAAGAAACAGTGGCTCACCTATTCAATGGAGATGGAAAAATTATAACAGATAAAAAAGAAAGCAGAAGGGCTCAATTCCTATTTTAGCTCATCTTTTCCTAAAGGACAAGATTATGAACCTCCAGATAAATATGAAGAGCAAGTGGAGAAGGCAGGACTGCAGCTGGAGATTGATAAACAAATAGTCAAGAAAAAACTTGCTACCTTGAATAAGTTCAAATCTCCAGGGCCGGATGAACTGCATCCAAAAGTACTGAATGAACTGGCTGAAGAGCTCTCAGAACCACTCTTCATTATTTCCTTGAAATCATGGGAAATGAGTGAGATGTGAGATGACTAGAGGAGGGCTAATGTTGTCCCTAGCTGCAAAAAAGGAGGAACCCGGGAACTACAGACCAGTCAGCCTGACATCAATTCTTGAACAGATTATTAAGCAGTCACTGTGCAATCACTTTGAAAACAATGCAGTATTAGCAAGAAGCCAAGACAGATTTGTCACGAACAAATCCTGCCAGACTAATCTGATCTCATTTTTTGATCGATTAACCTCCTTGAAAGACAGAGGGAGTGCTGTAGACATCGTAGCTCTGGACTTCAGCAAAGCTTTTGACAAAGTGCCCTGTGATATTCTGATCAGTAAACTAACCAGGTGTGGGCTGGATAGAACAATTGTCAGTTGGATACAAAGCTACAGAATTGTGCTCAGAGGGTGATGATTAAAGGCCCCTTCTCAAACTGGTGGGAGTACACCAGGGCTCAGGGCTCTTCAACATTTTTATTAACAACCTGGATCAGAGGGTGTGGGAATGCTAATCAAATCTGTGGATGACACAAAATTGCATGGAATAGCTAATATGCTGGAAGACAGAAACAAAACTGAAAATTATCTGGATAGCCTTGAGCACTGGGCTGGAAACAACAGAATGAAATTCAACAGGGATAAGTGCAAAGTACTGCACCTAGGGGAAAAACAAACACACAGTTACATGATAGGGAATACCTGGCTCAGCAATACTATGAGTGAGAAGGATCTTCAAATTGTTGTAGATAACAAGCTGAATATGAGCCAACTGAGATGGGGATATTTATATTTGTTTCCCCATCCGAACTGCACCTAATGCAGGTTTGACCTCCGGAACCAGCCCATCCACTCACACATCCTGGTGCAACCAGCATCCTGCTCTTCCTGCCAATTGCAACAGTAGTTCCTCCATCTCTCTTACTCAGCTGGCCACTACAGACAGGGGGCAAGAAGACAAATCTCCCTGCAGAACTGCTGAGTGGCCTGCTGAGCAGGGAGATGGAGGAGCTACTGCTGTAATTGGCGGGAAGAGTGGGATGCTGGAAGTGCTCGGACATGTGAGTGGACGGGCTGGTTATGGGGGGGTGGACCCACATTGGGTACAGCTGAGACGGGGATATTCGTATTCATTTAGTTCTGGACACCCCACTTCAAGAAGGATGCTGACAAATTGGAACAAATTCAGAGAAGGGCAACAAGGATGATCAGAGAGTTGGAAACTATGTCCTGTGAGGAAAGACTGAAAGAACTGGGCACGTTTAGCCTTCAGAAAAGAAGACTGAGGGGAGATATGATAGCACTTTTCAGACACTTGAAAGGCTGTCATTCAGAGGAGAGGCAGGATCTGTTCTCAATCATTCTAGAGTGCAGGACATGCCACAATGGGCTCAAGTTACAGGAAGCCAGATTTTGGTTGAATATCAGGAAAAATGTCTCTACTGTTAAGAGCAGAACGGCAATGGAATCAATTATCTCGTGAGGTGACGAATGCTCCAACACTGGAGACATTCAAGAGTAATTTGGACAACTACCTGGCAGATATTCTTTGATTCTTATTTCTACATTGAATAAGGGACTGGACTTGACGGCCTTATAGGCCCTTTCCAACTTCATTATTCTATTACTGTACAGTGGACCCTTGACTTACAGATGGCTTGACTTACAGGCTTTTTGAGTTACAGACTTCTCTGGCCGCAAAATTTAGGTTTGACTTGCAGACTGAGATTTGACTTACAGACCAGAAAAAAACCAAAATGGAACAAAAACGGCCTGTTACGGGATTAATCAGTTTTCAATGCACTGTAGGTCAATGGAGACTTGACTTACAGACTTTTTGACTTGAGAACCGCCTTCCAATACGGATTAAGTTCTCAAGTCAAGACCCCACTGTATTGTGTTTTATAACAATTGTTTTCACTGTTCTAACTCTACCCTCAGGAGTCTGCTCTTTTGCTCTCAAACAAGTCTGCTTATTTTCCCTTGCTTTCATGACTCAGCCCCACTTCCACACCTTCTCTATCATTTGTCTTTTTCACTCTTTTCCCCTCACCTTTGGTTTTTTCTTGAAAGTTCACTTTCCCATAGTTTTTGACTCATTTCCACCTCAGTTACAACACAGCCCCAAAATGTGGTTCTATATTCATCCCTTATTGCTCTGAACTTTTTACTTCTCAGGCTACCATCCCACGTCTCAGTCCAATCCATGAACCTCATGGTTAAAGTGCAATACTGCAGCCAAAACTCTGTTCCTGACCTGGGTTTAATCCCATGTAGCTGGCTCAAGGTTCACTCAGCCTTTCATCCTTCCGAAGTCGATAAACTGAGTACCCAGCTCATGGGGAGAAGGCAATTTTAAACTGCCCAAAGAGTGCTTTAAATGCTATGGGGCAGTATATAAGCAGCACACTTTGCCCTTTTCCCCCCTACTCATGTTACTCTGTAAAGTGCTGTGCATGAAGATAACACTAAATGGACAGCACCACATTTTGGAAAGCCATTGCAGATTTGTTGCTGCTGTTTTGTTTTTAAATAGATCACTCTTCTTGTTTGATAGGAGTCATAGTTCCAAGTCCAGTCCTTATCATATTCAGTTCAACGGATAGCTGGCAGGCGAGACTAGGACAGACCTTTGCTTTGAGGACTTTTGTAGAATGGAATAGGTAATACTGATGTAGACAGACCAGTCTGATTCATTATGGAGCAGCTTCAGATATTTATCTGTCTGCTATCTCCTGGTAAAAGGCCACTGAAAATAAAAGACCCAGATTTAAAAATGCAGACACCAAGCTTTGGCAGTTCTTCTTTCACTGTTGTCTTAGCTCTAGTTATTTAAGGCCCGGGGCCTTTCATGGCCACAATCTGCTGTCATGTAGTTTCTGGAACACCTGTTGCTGAAACCACCTGCTGCTTACCCAAAGGCAACCCACTTTTCAGCCTGGATAATCAGGCAAAGTAGGTAGTCACAAGGCAGCTTGTCTTATACTTATGAAATATTTTGGTGTGAATATATGGCTAGGA